AAGAATGCTGAAGGTACCATGGACTGCCAAAAGAACTAACAGATCTGTCCTGGAGGAAGTTCAGCCCAGATGCTCTTTAGAAGTGAGAATGGCCAGACTTCATCTCACCTACGTTGGTCATGTTGTCAGAAGGGACCATTTCCTGGAGAAGGATATAATGCTTGGTAAGGTGGAGGGGCGACGAAGAAAGGGAAGGCCTTCGATGAGATAGATTGACACAGTGGCTGTGACAATGGGCTCAAGTATAGCAAGGATCGTGGAGCTGGCGTGGGATCAGGTGGTGTTTCGTTCTGCTGTGCATGGGGTCACTATGAGTCGGAAATGACAGCACCTAACAACAACAACAACAACATGGCTGTTTGTTGTTGTTGTGTTGTTAGGGGCTGTCAAGTCAGCACCAACTCATAGCAACCCTATGCAGAATAGAATGAAGCACTGCCCAGTCCTGGGCCAGCCTCACAATCTTTGCTATACCTGAGCCTATTGTTGCAGCCACTGTGTTAATCCATCTCAATGAGGACCTGCCCCTTTTTCACTGACATTCCAGTCTACCAAGCATGAGTTCCTTCTCCAGCGAATAGTCGTTTCTGACTACATGACCACAGAAGGTGAGGCGAAGTCTGACCATGCTCACTTCCAAGAAGCATTCTGGCTGCACCTCTTCCAGGACAGATTTGTTCATTCTTCTGGCAGTCCATGGTACATTCAGTATTATTTGCCACCACAACTCAAAAACATCAATTCTTCTTCAGTCTTCCTTATTCATCATCCAGCTTTCACATGGATATGAGGTAATTGAAAAGACCATGGCTTGGGTTAGATCCACCTTAGTCTTCAAAGGGACATCTTTGCTCTTCAGCACTTTAAAGAGGTCTTTCGCAGTAGATTTTCCCAGTGTGATATGTAGTCTGATTTCTTCATTCCTGCTTCCATTGGTGTTGATTGTGGAAATAAGTAATATGAAATCTTTGACAACTTCAGTCTTTCCTCCATTTATCATGATCCTGCTTATTGGTCCAGTTGTGAGGATTTTCATTCCTTTTATGGTGAGTTATAGTAATCCACTGCTGTATATTAAATGTTAAAAAAAAATCATTCTTTCATTAACCTAGTCTATAGATTACCAGATACATTAAAAAAATAAATAAATAAATAAACACTGAAGTTAATTTAAGACCAGCATAGTAATAACTGAATCCTCAGGGGTGCTAAAACCAGGTATAAAAATATTTACACTATTTCAAATAATGTTCTCACAGATTACTTGGTATTTATAAAAGGGAAATGATAGCTTCTCAAGGGAGAAAACTGGGAGATACCATATTAATCACATTAATATCACCAATATTAGGAAAAGCAGATAGCCTGTCCCTCCTACTATGATGTACCAAGAACACACCATCACTTACATAGTATTCCTGCCAACAATTCACTATCTGTTTAATCTTAAGGAAACTATTGGGTACATCCATAATGACAGATGCTTCAAAACATCTGGCCTGGACTCTTCAAAGTTATCAGTATCATGAAATATAAAAACAGCTGATACCCTGTTAGAGATTAAAAGAGACAGGGAAACTAAATGCAATGTATCATGTGGGATCAAGAAAAAAATAAAATATTGCTATAAAGGAGAATATTGAGAAATTGGTGAAATATGAATATGGATGATTTATGAGATAATAGTGTATATTAATGTAAAATTTCTTGAAGTATATAAGGGTGAATGGCTAAGATGTCTCCAACTTACCTTCAAATAGTTTCGTTCCCAACACACACACACACACACACATAAACAGAGAGAAAAAGAGAGACAGAGCAGAGAGAGAGAAAAACAAATAGGGCAGAATGTTAACAGCTAATGAATCTAGATTGAAGGTATAATTGAGAGTTCATTGTCTTAGTCTTGCAACATTTTGGTAAGTTGTAAATTTTTCAAAAATAATAAGCTTTTAGAAACTGTCCTCATGTATATTCTGTTTTCAAGAAATACAGACAAAGACATAAACTAAAGAAAGGGATGGCAGAAAAATAAATAGGGAAAATAAAAGCACTAGAATTGAACGTAAAAGTCAGTATTTATGAGAAAGACATAGTAACAAGAAAATATGTTCTAACCAATGTAACAGCTAAATACATAAAGAGAAATAGTATTCACAAAAGAAGGAGAAATGAGGAGAAAATACTATCATTGTGAGAGATCTCAATACACTGCTAGCACATAAATGTATGCAAGGATATACAGAATTGAAAAATATACACTCTATAAATTACATATCATAAATGATCTACAATATATGATATACAAATATATTTATACATACAACTTTAAGTGCCAAAAAAAAAAGTTGACATTTTTTTATGTCCATGAAATGGTCACAAAAAACTGATGATTTCTTTGTTCACAAAGAAAACTTTAACAAAACTTTTTTTAAAAATTAAGATATTACCCCTCAGATTTACTGATCATAATTCAATAAAATCAGAAGTAAATAATTAAAAGACCAAAAATGTCTTATATATTTGAAAATATGAAATGATCTTGTGCTCTAAATTACCCTGGGTTCAGAGACAAAAAGAAAAATAGAAACTATCTGTAAAGATATATATTTTATTTTAAATAAAACATTTTATCTTCTTGTTAGTTTATCCTCTCAGAACATAAAAATAGATGATAGCATGTAACTTGTTTTTATTTAGAGTGGTTCAATAAAAAGAATTGAACTAAATACCATTTATCTTGGGCATAATAGATATATACAACTTATCTTTAATTTTCACATCTTTTTAAACCTTGACCTATTTATTAATATATGTTAAGTCTTAGTTGTTTGCATGTTTATTATGCTTAGTTTAAAATAATCTTAGTATGTATTTTGGATTTTGACAGTTTACCAGAATATCTGGAGAGACAACATATATCTCAGTTTTGTGATGTTGAAGATAATGCAATTAATGTTGACAAGTTCATTGATACCTTTTTTCCTGATTTTAAAAAAATGAAAAGTATGAAATTGGAAAAGATACTGGCATTAATTAGACCAAGCCTCTTTAAAGAAAATAAAGGTAAGAAAGAAAGTATAAGTCAATTATTTTGTTGATGGAATTTGAATCATTGCTGGTATAAAAATACATTAAATTACATTATTTTAAAATTGAAATAAAAAGGACCTGAAATAAGAAATTTAGTTAAAGCTAATTTACTAATTTCTTACAATAAAAAAAAATTATAGTTAAAGAATTCACAAAGCATTTTCTAACCTGTAGATTTGATAGAGTAGATAGTAACATTGGAGAATTACTTCGTAAGACTAAACACTATAGTCTTTCAAGTCTGAAATTCCTCAGTTTGAAGCTTGATCCAACCATTCTTTAATGGTGTGACTTCAACAAGGTATTTTACCAAGTTTATTTGTTCAGTCACGATGGGAAACAGAAGCAAAGTGCCTGGGTAGATACTTAATAAGTGGTAGTTACGTTTAAACACAAATTTGGCACGTAACAGAAGGAATATGGCAGAATAAGAACACAAGTCATTAACACTATCAATTCTTTTCTATTATTACCTAGTATATAGAAATACAGTTGATACAATATTTGTGTATTGACTAACCTTGTATTCTGTGACTTGCTAAATTCACTCATTATTTCCAGGAGTTTTTCAGTTATTGTATATATATACACACACACGTATATATGTATATATATATACATATGTGTATATAATATACATACATATATATACATATATGTGTGTGTGTGTGTGTATGTATAAATATCTCCAAAAAAATAAACCTCACTTTTCATTCAATTCTGACCTATAGTGACCCCCATTGGGTTCCAAGGCTATAAATCTTTATGGAAGTAGATTACCTCATCTTCCTCCTGTGGAGCTGCTGATGGGTTTGAACCACCGACCTTCTGGTAGCAGCCAAATACCTTACTCACTATGCCACCAGATCGAGATATATATATATACACCTACACATATGTGTATATAAAACCCCCATAAAACAAACTCACTGCCGTCGAGTTGATTAGATTCATAATGACCTCTCCTTGGGTTTTCCAGGTGGTTTCTCTACGGAAATAGATGGCCCAATCTTCCTTCTGAGGAGTGACTGGTGGGGTTGAACCACCAGCCTTCTGGTTAGCAGTCAAATGTCTTAGGCACTACCCCACCAGAGCTCCCATGTATAGTATATATATGTGTGATAGTTGAAGATGTGTCAACTTGGCTGGACTCCAGTTGTGAGTGGTGGTTCCCATGATGGATCATATGACTGCATTCTAAGCGGCCGGTCGGCCTAGGGGGAGTTTCCCCAGGGGTGTGGCCTACCTGCAATGCTATCCCAGGGACAAACTAGAAGAACGGCATTCCGGACTATATACTTCCTGGAGCAAGCAACTCGCTGCTCGCCCTGGAGGTTTTCAGATTCATTCTTTGTTGGGAACAGCGACCAGCGCACTGCGTGTCAGCTTGATTCTCTCGGCTCT